AAACACACACATGTATGTATTGATGTGGATCTTTGTGTGTGTGAAACACTGCACATGTATGTACTGATGTAGATCTTTGTGTGTGTGAAACACTGCACATGTATGTACTGATGTAGATCTTTGTGTGTGTGTGTGAAACACTGTACATGTATGTACTGATGTAGATCTTTGTGTGTGCAACACTGCATATGTATGCACTGATGTAGATCTTTGTGTGTGTGTAAAACACTGCACATGTATGTATTGGTGTAGATCTTTGTGTGTGTGAAACACTGCACATGTATGTACTTATGTAGATCTTTGTGTGTGCAACACTGCATATGTATGCACTGATGTAGATCTTTGTGTGTGTGTAAAACACTGCACATGTATGTATTGGTGTAGATCTTTGTGTATGTGAAACACTGCACATGTATGTATTGATGTAGATCTTTGTGTGTGTGAAACACTGCACATGTATGTATTGATGTAGATCTTTGTGTGTGTGTGCGTCTGAAGACATAGAAGCCGAGAGCTTACATTACGTCCATACTGTTAATACTAGGTTTAAATTCACTAACAGAAATAAGTTTAAATCTATACATAATCTAATCTGAATTTTAAGAAATGTTTTCCACAGATTATTGAGTAAACATGAGATAAAAAGAGATAATGGTTTCAGTAAATTATTGAAAGTCTGTTCAGCCAATTTGTTTCTGGGTTCAATACTATTTAAAGAATAATCTGAATGTTATTTGAACTGGGCTAAATATGTGTTGTTGTTTTTACAATCTTAAGAATGTAAATTTATCCCTGCAACTTCTCTTAAAAGTATTTTTATTTCCATTTGAGGCACTGAAACTAATGTATTCCTAAATGATTTATTTTATTTTCTAGCTTATACAAACTACTTTTAAAAACTAGAAATAGTTGTACGCGCTCGGAATTGTGACCGATTACTTACTGAATATCTTAGTTGATTCAAGAATTTAACTAACTGGACACGTTGAATTTAAAAATATATCTCTTTACTTATTCATCTTCTTTCAGAGTTCTTAATACCTTTGATATTCAGTTTATACATGTTAACACATGTTAACAGAAAGAAAGTAAAAATGCCTCTGGAACGTTATTTTTTAACTCTTTTTAAATCTGTGGATGAAATTCAAGGATGGAATGTTAAGGCATTATATAAAGAGCTCAACGTAAACACTTCAAATTATATATATATTCATTTACTTCGTTGAGTGTAGGCAGATTTTGTTGAATAAGACCGATGTCTGTAGGTTTACTTTCTTCTTGGAATTCTTCTCAAGAAGTCGATAAGCCGTTTTGACAAGATTCTGCTGAAACTCCAAGGTTATCTTATCGTCTTATGCTGTCGGGTCATGTAATCGAATGTTGGTGTACTTTGGTGACAGATTTTCTTGTAGGCAGATTTTGTTGAATAATACCGATGTCTGTAGGTTTACTTTCTTCTTGGAATTCTTCTCAAGAAGTCGATAAGCCGTTTTGACAAGTTTCTGCTGAAACTCCAATGTTATCTTATCGTCTTATGCTGTCGGGTCATGTAATCGAATGTTGGTGTACTTTGGTGACAGATTTTCTTGTAGGCAGATTTTGTTAAATAAGACCGATGTTTCAGCAGAAACTTGTCAAATCGGCTTATCGACTTCTTTGACAAGTTTCTGCTGAAACATCGGTATTATTCAACAAAATCTGCCTACAAGAAAACCTGTCACCAAAGTACACCAACATTCGTTGAGTGTCTAAACCTAATAACAAACTGTGATCTGATAATGTTTTGTATTTTTGTTTAGGTTATGCTTGAGGATAATAACCTATTGTAGTACTGACATTTAAAATGGTAAAATGGGAATTCAAATTATTGGTGTCAAATATCTCTATATGAAATGTTGTTCTGTTCTAAGTGTTCGTTTTTTATTTTTACATATCTTTTCTCACACTGGACCTTTTTTTATTTATGGAAACATTTCCTTTGAAATGTGTGAACTTGACACAAGATACATGATTGAAATCTGCAATGAAAGTTCAGTTAATAAAATGTTATAGATTAATGCAGCAGGCTTAGGCTCAACAGGCAATTGTTTGTTTGTTTCAGAACTTCACGCGACGCTACGCTACATGAGGGCTATTTGCGCAAAGTCATCCTTAGTTTTGAACATGTAGACTAGAAGGAAGGCAGCTAGTTAACAGCAGCCACAGTAAACATTGGGGCTGATCTTGTCTGATCGAACAGTGTGATTTGATCGTCACTCTTATAGCGCACGTAACCACGGGCACGAAGCGAGGAGAGCCTTATTGCTGTGACGGTCTTGATACTTCGGATTCATAGTCTGGGCACGCTAACCAAAGGCCACTCCAGAGACAAGAGACAATTGAGGCAAATCGTCAGCTAAACGTTTTCAATCGCAGAAGTTCAACTCTTTTAGACTTAAAACATCTCATGAAGAATGTCCAATAAAAAATAAAATAAAATTCCGAGAATGAGTGCAAGAAGAGTATAAAAAAGGTGGTGGGGTATAAAATATACAGCCTTATTTGATTTTTATGTGTCGATCACAATATGGGTACACGATACTGCTTCATTTTCATTGAAGGCCTCTTTCTAATAACATTAGTAATACCGCTGTAATAAAATACACAAAATAACTATTAATTTAGGGCTAATGTATAAATATAAAAATGTATGTTTTCACTCATTACTCTAACTCACAAACTTTGAAAAAAAATGCATTTTAAAATGATAACATACATAGTTAAACTTAGGTTAATTCGACGAGTATAGTAGTTTTTAATACCTACTCCGTAATTTCCCAGACTGTCGACAACGCAGGGAATGTTGACGTCTCTGCCCACAGGAACTGTAATATTAGGCACTGGCTCGACGAAAAACGGCCTGTCATTATTTGAGTTCTTGATGGCTAAAAGTAAACAAGCATTTGGAAGAACACAAAAAGATAAGCATAACGAGACACAAATCTTTGAATCATGGTTATTCACTGCATAAGAGGAGAACGCACTGAAATAACACTGTACTGATATTACGCCCGTTAAAAGCAAAGCTCAAAATCCTACATTTTATCGTAAAATATTAAGCGCTAGAAATTTGCATTTAGAAGTAGAAGTTTATATTACTTCGTCAAATTTTACGTCACTTTGCAACAACCATGTTCACAATATTATATTGCTCAGCAAATAATTAAAAAGTAAGTAAAGGAATATTCAAAACGATGCTGATGATGTCGCTGTGATCAAGTAATTTTCTACGGCCCAGTGACCCGTCTTTCACCAATAACTAATTATCCTTGAAGAAAGCTGAGGCCCATATGCATGTCCACGGACCAGAAAACATAACTGAAAGTAATCAAAGTGACATGGGAGATTTTGATACCTCTTAGCTAGAAGTTTTTTCTAAGTATGAATCGATTCATGGTCTATACATCCATTAATTTCAGGAGGAAGTAACACGTAGAATAATACTGCCCGTTAGCTAGCTCTTTCTACCAATCCTTCTTTCAAAATTACAATATCATCTAACTCCCTGGAGATCAGGAACATTCAAAAATTACAATATCATCTAACTCCCTGGTGATCAGGAACAACTCAACACTAAATACCATCTAGCTCCCAGGTGATTAGGAACATTCAAAAATTACAATATCATCTAACTCCCCAGTGATCACGAACAATCCAAAACTACAATATCATCTAACTCCTAGTGATCAGGAACAATTTAAAACTACAATATAATCTAACTCCTAGTGATCAGGAACAGTCCAAAACTACAATATCATCTAACTCCCTGGTAATCAGGAATAAGATTTTTACTTCACGCTAGCCATTAGATGTAATGCGGTATTCTGCACGAAGGTAAAGAAAAACAAGCTAAGACAAACGTAAGAAAAACTGGGTTTCTAGAACTTGCCAATTTATTGTATCTCCTGGCGTAAGAGGAGAGTTTGTTAGATGAAAACAATGTTTTATAAAATATGTGTGTATACAAAGATATATATATATATATACATTATTGGAACTATTTATGGAAACGCACAACTGATACACATACAAGAGTCACAAACAGTTGCATCTAAATGATCAAATATCATTGGTACGTATATTTTACATTATTACAAAAAATGCAGAAAAAAAGTGAATAAAGTGTACGAGCCATTCGTATTAATATTCGATATATGTTTTAAAGACAATAGTACAACGTCAAATATCATTAGGATATATATATTTTACATCATTACAGAAAATGCAAAAGAAAAGTGAATATGTCGTACGATCCACTATTCTTTTAAAGACAACAGTACAACTTTTTTTTAATGCCACCGTTCGTTTATCAATGTGTGGTTGTGAAATACTGTTCCTGTTAAAATCATTGTTGTAACGTCGAAACATGTAGAGTGGTCAACATTTTGAAGGCCATAGATAGGCCTAAATAAAATGTTTTTAATTGTGTACCAGGTTAACTTTGAATATTATTTATGATTTTAACTTTATACACAAGTGCCAAAATACTATAACTGTTCCTGTTGTTCTGTATTACACGCTAAAACTTAGCTAGTTTGACTGGTTGCCGTTTTATCTTCTTCGTTGCCATACACATGTTCATACAACCTTGATAATATTATTATCAGTTCTTCGTGTAGCTCAGCCATGTTTGCGAGTGTTCCATCAATCTTTTGTCCCCTCTAGTATTGTTTCATCACACCAATTGCATGCACTCGTCAGCAGTTAAGTATCATTAATATTTTGTAAGTATCCAATAACATTGGCTACAATTCAATTTACACTTGTATTGATCCCCCAACATGTTTTACTGTACATGTTGAACGTCATACGGTTTTCTTCTGTGTCATCGAACAAACTGTTGTTGATTGTTGTCAAACAATTCGAATTTTGATTAATTTGTAAAGAGCACCCTTCTCAAACTTTGCTCATCCCACCGTTTTGAAGTCTGATGCCTATTTCAGTTTTTTGGTTTGGTTATTTTTTCTAAGCACTGGTTTTTAGCACTTTTACTTAGGTCACTTCGAGCTAATGTCTATCACACTGTTCTGGAGGTAACATTAACATCTGTACTTACAACTTGGTCATTGACAAGATCTCTACACTGGATTGTCTTGTATACCGTCAAGAGCATACCTATGTTAGTTATTTAACGTCATTTTCGAAGAGTTTGGGATTTCTACCTCGCCCACTTCTATCATCAACAGTATTAGCTTCACGTATCCTTTTAAGAGTTTCCATATTATTGAAACATGAAACTTCACCCTAATGTATTGCACGAATTAATCTTACACCAGCTAAAACTTTGATTTGTACACATTTGTCATTTGAAATTTCTTTCCTGGGAACACGAGTGCACACACCACAATATTGTTATAAGAATAAAACTATCTGTATTATGCTGGTGTGGCACCGCTGATTGGTTGAATGACAACCAATTAATTTGTTAGTTATCAACACTTGACTGAACGTTGGTTCAGTTCATTTTCATGCATTTTATAACTATTATATTCACTATTTCTGATACTGTACTTTTGTATGAGCTATTAAAATGCGCAATATTTTGTGACTCTAACTCATACAAGATTTGTTCGAAAAATTCAGAATTAAATATTAACAATATATCGTCTACTTATTATCTTATAACTTTTCATCAAATAAGTCCCTTTCCAGTGTTCTTCTACATTATTGTTCTTTCTACGTAAGCATTGGTTATTTTTTTGAATAATAATGTTTATTGCTAATTACCAAATTTTTAATTTTCGTACATTTAGCACTTTATGGAAATATTTCCTCTGAAATGATTTTATGAAAATACCCATAAAGAACATCTTTGCGGAAGTCATAAAAAAGTATACCGAAGAACTGGCTTTCGTTTCTCGTTAAAGCGTGCGTTCATTATTTAACTCTACATACTTCGCACTGGAATTAAAGCTGGTGAAAAATGTCAAATATTTTAGTAGTGTAGAGTGTGTTTGTTGGATTTAAGTTAAACACGCAGCACGCTCCTGAATACAAAAATAGCTTGAATAAACCAGAAATAAGGTTTGAAAAGATCCGAGTAAAGTTTAATGTCTATTTCAACAGTAACACTTGGTTTAAGTTTCTTCGAGTTGAAATAAACGTGTTGAATCGTGCACTGTGTCACCAGTATAGAGTTCAATTAATGGGTGTAGTACAATATATCTCGCCTCTATGGTAGTTAAATCACATTAACTCTGAAACGCTGATTTTACTGAAACCTTTTAGAGTCTGACATATTTACAACAGTTGGACTGTATCTAAATATATAATGTTATTTCTTGTGACATAAGAAGATTCATATAGTGAAACTCATTGTAACCGTTTAGATCTTTAAGCTGTCTACTCAGGATTCCAACGATTTTTTACTTAATGCTTAAGTTAAATTTAGCTCCATGAACATGATATTTACAGACTTCGACCGAAAAGGTACGGAAATATTCAATGAAAACATGCACGAGAAAAGTAGGCTTAGATGTAAAAACTAGCATTTTTTTCGTGACAAATATAAAATCATACTAACTAAATTATCATTCTACTGTTAACTTTCTGCTAGTGTGTAATTTAAAACATATCGCAGTTTATAAACACGAAAACAAAAAACTCCTAAAGTATTTGCACCATGTATCCCCCCCCCCTCCCCAGTAGCTCAGCGATAAGTCGGCAGGCTTACGATGCTAAAAATTGTGTTTCGATTCCCGTGGTGAGTAGAGTATTGTGTAGATTTGCGCTTAACAACAATAAAACCGAACCATCACGCATCGGTGTTGGACTACCTAGCAAATCCGTTAAAAAGATAACAATAAATATCGGAATAGTTTTAAGACTTGTGAATTCAAGTGACTGGTACGAACATTGATTCCCTTCTTTTATTGTAACAAAGCAAAGATGACTTGTTTCTATGTAACACTTGGAAAAGTGGATTTATATTGAAAGGTTATTGGGCGCTCAAGTATGAACCAACTTAGAAGTAAGCCAGTCTAATATTGTTTAAGAAACTGATGTACTCATGTGAGCTTAAACTATAACCATGCGTTAGAAAAATCGCATTGGTTTGACAGTACAACACATATTTTGCTACTCCTCTCCCCAAGAAAAAGGAATACAAGTGCACATTTACTTCAATAGTTGAAAATATATTTGGAGGAACATTTTCTGACAATAAAAGCATTAGCGGATTTCGTGACACAGAATTCTTACACGTTCAGTTAAAGTGAGAAAAGATGTGTTATATACTATAAATTTTTGTTTTCGATCATATTTCGCTCATGGTTGGTATATAGAAGTACCCCCCCCCCTCGAGGCACAGCGGAATGTCTGTGGACTTACAACGCTAGAAACCCCGGTTTGTTTCCCGTGGTAGGCAGAGCACAGATAGCCTTTTGTGTAGCTTTGTGCTTAACTACAAACAAACAATCAACATAGAACTATCAGAATATTGAAATTAAGTTGGAACCGGCCTAGTGTAAGGTGCTTATTAAAAACTTTATGAAGGCAGCAAGCCTTATCTATACAACTTCTACATATATATATCGATGAGTCACAAACCCACCATCATCAGGAAGGAGACAGCAGTGAAGCACTATTACAATGTTTATATACCTTTCTTATCTGGCGTAATACAAAACTTCCACTTAACAATTGGCATAAATTGTACTGCAACTACTTATCTCTCTTTTTTAAATAGATATCCAGAAGTGCATTTCTGCAAACCCTGGACCAGAATCTCTATTTTAAAGTTAGCCGATTCATTAATTTTCAGCTTTTCTATAACCGATTTATGTAATATAGGAAAGATATATAAACTTTGGAATAGTGTTTCATTCCTGCCTTCCTCTTCTTTTTTTTTTTTTTTGATGACTGTGGGTCTGTTAACTACCGAAAC